AGTACATAGGTGACAAAAGGAAGACTAGGGAAAATGTGGGCCTGCTGCTGAATGGGGCAGGGGACCTGGTGACACAGAACATGGAAAAAGCTGAGGTACCAAATGCCTTCTTTGCCTCAGTCTTTACTAGCAAGACCAGCCTTCAGGAATCCCAGGTCCCAGACACCAGGAGGAAAGGCTGGAGCAAGGATTATGTACCTTGGTGGAAGAGGATCAGGTCAGGGAATAATTAAGCAAACCGGTTATACACAAGTCCATGGGCCCTCTCAGGAAGTTTGCAGATCACACCAAGCTGAGTGGTGCTGTTGACACACCTGAGGGACAGGTTGCCATCCAGAGGGAGCTGGACAAGGTCAAAAAGTGGGCCTGTGTGAACCTCATGAGGTTCAACAAGGCCAAGTGCAAGGGCCTGCACCTGGGTCAGGGCAACCCCCACTATCAATACAGGCAGGGGGATGAAGGGATTGAGAGCAGCCCTGTGGAGAAGGACTTGGGGGTACTGATGGATGAAAAGCTGGACATGAGTCAGCAATGTGCGCTCGCAGACCAGAAGGCCAACCATATCCTGGGCTACATCAAAAGAAGCGTGGCCAGCAGGTCAAGGGAGGTGATTCTGCCCCTCTACTCTGCTCTGGTGAGACCTCACCTGGAGTATTGCATCCAGCTCTGGAGCCCTCAGCAGAAGAAAGGCATGGACCTGTTGAAGCAGGTCCAGAGGAGGGCTACAAAAATGGTCAGAGGGATGGAATGCCTCTCCTATGAAGACAGGCTGAGAGAGTCGGGGTTATTCAGCCTGGAGAAGAGAAGGCTCCGGGGAGACCTTATTGTGGCCTTTTGATACTTAAAAGGGGGCATATAAGAAAGATGGCAGCAAACTTTTTAGCAGGGCCTGTTGTGACAGGACAAGGGGGAATGGTTTTAAACTAAAAGAGGGTAGATTTAGACTAGATATAAGGAAGAAATTTTTTACAATGAGGGTGGTGGAACACTGGTACAGGTTGCCCAGAGAGGTGGTAGATGCCCCATCCCTGGAAACAAGTCAGGTTGGACAGGGCTCTGAGCAACCTGATCTAGTTGAAGATCCCTGCTCATTGCAGGGGGGTTGGACTAGATGACCTCTAAAGGTCCCTTCCAACCCAAACTATTCTATGATTCTATGACTCTCAGTGATCTTTGAGCAATCATGACGATTGGGAGAGGTGCCTGAAGACTGGAAGAAAGCAAATGCCACTCCTATCCTCAGGAAGGGCAGGAAGGAGACCCAGGGAACTACAAGCCTGTCAGCCTCACTTCAATCCCAGCCTCAATGGGAAGGTGCCATCCAGTGGGACCTTGACAGGCTGGAGAAATGGGCTGACAGTTGATGAAGTTCAACAAGAAATGCAAAGTCCTGCACCTGGGGTGGAATAATCCCATGAATGTGTTGGGGGCCAAGCTGAACATGAGCCAGCAATGTGCCCTTGCAGAAAAAAGGGCTAATGGCAATCCTGGGCTGCATTAGGAGTGTTGCCAGCAGGTCGAGGCAGGTGATCCTTCCCCTCCACTCAGCACTGGTGAGGCCATACCCAGACTACTGTGTCCAGTGTTGGGCTCCCCAGTACAAGAGAGATTGGTAAGTAAGAATTTTAGAATTAAACTGAATAGAGAAAGCAAAGTCATCTGTTTAAGTAACATTTTAGCAAGTAAATTTAATTTTCTTTGACTCAGTTTTATGTTTCTTTGCTAAGCTAATAAGCAAATACTTGCAAATGCTTTCTTTGCCTTCTGTCAAGCTACTGTTACTCAAGAAGGCAGAAGCTGCCCCATGAATCCCACCTTTTTTTTTTTTTTTTTTTTAATAGAATCTATTTGGTAGAAGTCATTAATACTTTTAGATAGTATCTGTAGTCTGGTTTGTATCCAGTGTTCCACAGGAACGCTCTCATAACCAGTTTTCTGACTAGTGTGTATTGACATCTGGACAGTGCTTGTGAAAGTGTTATTGTAGGCCCTTTGTGAATACAATCCTTGCAGTAATCTATCCAAAGATGTTTTGATCTGTTCGTGTGCGCTATTGGACAGAGAACTTAATTTCCTGGAGGCTGTAATCCCTTTTGATCAGATACTAAATTTGATTTATTATTCATATAAAATTTGACTAATGGATTTAGCGTGAATGAAATTCTAAAATCCAGTTATTAGCTGTTGGGCACTGGAATATCATTTTACTTAGGACGTTTTAACACATTAAGTTTTAGATCTCAAAATAATATTATTATAGCATCTTTAAAATCTGGTATCACATTTGACTCTTCAATATTGGGTATATTAGGTGAGATTTCACATCTCTAGCTTAATTTTGACACCAATTTTTGAAGTTGTGATGATACTTTCAATATGACTTATGCCGCTCTTATGTTATTTTTCTGTACTGTTTCTAATCTATCCTATTCCAATAAGCATATGATTTTCCAGGTCAGCGTGAAGTAGAACGTCTGGTGTCTCTCTGTGCTTGGCTTTAAGATACCACCATTTAACTTTTATGTGCTAAATAATGTTTGAGTTGAATGCAGACAAGTACATTGCCTTTTAAAGCACTCTAAACTATTCAAATGTTTGGAAGTTGTTTATTATTTTTAAGTTGATCTAATAGAGAATATTTTAATGCTTCTAAAGAGTTCAACCAATGTGCAGTCAAGAGGAAATGTATTTGGAAGCAGAATACAGTTTTGATCATGTACGAGGTAGGTCGTTAGGGTTCTCAGTTTTCCCCTCTACTTGATTTATACTCATTGGCATGCCAATCAAATAGCTTTTTTCAGAAGTGATGTCAGTGACACTGTACAAAATGGGTGGAAGAAAGATGGCACAGCCGTAAACCCTATAAAATCTTTCCCTTTTGTTTACTTGCCTACTATACGTGTCACCTTAAGGAGAGATTTCAATCCATTGAGTGGGCAGTTACAAAAGTAAAATAGTGTTGCTATTTAATTTGCTTTATCTGAATTTCAGCGCCTGAGTTGTTCTGCTTGATCAATAATAAATCAATAGGCAGTTAATAATGGAATATATTTATGCCTTCCTGTGTTTTTCCTCTCTGTGAGGTCCAAAATATTGTATTAATCTGTTTTGCTGGCAGCAAACTGAAGACTGACTATATGCTTGTACTGTACCGGTTAGTGTATCTACCGTAAGGTGGTTTAGACTTTGCAAACATGAGCCAAATTCCTGATTTTTGTGTCACTTCTGGTATATCCCACTCCCGGCTATGATGACAATAACGGCAGATCCCGGGGCTTCATTGGGCCATTCCTGTGGCTGCCCCTATCCATCATAGAAGCAGCTACAAGCTTCGCGGGGTTGTGTCTGTCCGTCTCAGACAAATGAAGAGCTCAAGTCCTTGTGTGAGTAGGAGGTCTGCTGCCTTCTTCCCCCATTCTTTCCTTGCCTTCCATAGGAACACGGCGACAGCTCTGGGCTTTGAGCCAGCCGGACACAGGAGGAGGTGTTTGGCTGTTCGGGCAGCGTTTGCTCCTCAAACAGCTGTTCCCTATCTCCTCCAAGAAAAAGGTGGCAGGCCATATGGAGGCATCCTGTGGTCCAGATTCAGCCGATGGGCGCCAGTTGGACCGTGCTGGCCTAGATCGAAATACAGGCACATCCCACTTGGTGTCTGCTATTTCTTACAGTCAGAATATTTTAAAGTTGGAGGAGGACAGACAGGATAAAACATATCTTTCATTGTAGATATAGATGTTATCTTTTTTTGGACATTCATTGTTAAGATCTTCTTATCAGTAGGTTTTAATTTATATTCTGAATGGTTTGGATTCTGTTATACTAGCCTAAATGCCCTCTTTCCTCTAGAGAAACAGAGATGTACTTCAAAGCATATATGCCAGTGCTAAACAAAATTTCTTTCTGCACAGTTTAAACCACGTTTGGGAGGAATAATACGTTCTCTTGTTAGTATTATAGGCTTTTAAAGCATTTTTTTGGAAGACAGGGTTCTCAACCACTCTCCTAGTTGAGAATGCAGATAAGCATCTGTTTTTACAGCCAATAGAGTGGAGGGTTTTTTGTTTGCTTTTCTGTTAGTTGCTTTTATTTTTATTTTTTAACTGAGTTGCACTTTCTGGGGCAGTTGAGTTTATCCCCAGAGATGTTGTCTGTGTCTTTTGTGGAAGCAAGTGTCTCAGCAGACATCAGGAGATCATCATGCACTTACAAGTATACTTTCTCATATAAAGTTTGTACTTATTGTGCAGATTTAATATTTTTCCTGATATAACAGCAGTTACAAATGTTCCATAAATTTAAAATATGATAACAAGCTGATGTTTCTTAGAATGGAATACTCAAAGGATGTATTCTTTAAGCACTGCAAAATTATACAGGGGACTTATCTTTGTTAAAATTAGTAATTTAACTAAATTACAAAGTGGATTATCCTCTTCAGTCAGACCCAATGCTAATACTCCACACAGTAGGAGATTGATACGTTGCTAAGTAAACCAAAGTTTATTTTCTTGTACTATGGTTTGAATGTGAGTTGAAGAGGAAGCGATAAGTTTTTAGTTTTGGATGTGTGCACTATAGTCCCAGTACGTCTGGTTAGGGGACTTACCATGCCCTGCGTGCCACGCTGGTTGTGCAGCGTGGTACCTTGGTTATAAGATGATCGTGATCCAAGCTTCCACCTAAGTGGCTCCTGGTATGATTTATCTGTAACCTTAAGTAGTCAATTCACAGGTAACAAAACTTTGACCATACTGCATAATATTAATGCTTGTTAGGAAAATCTTTAGATGTGGAGTGGTTGTGAAGAGGAAATACTGTCCCTGTCCTTTTAAAGCAGTTCACTTCAGGCTTTCCATCACAGCATTTTATTTGTGGTTTGTGATTCACTGAATTAATAGTAGAGTTATGTGATGAATTTGTGCGTGAACACAGTGCACATATGTTGCATTAAACAAAATGCACAAGCTAAACCTTGTACTTTAGGAGGAGCCTAAAGGGTAAATGATAGGTCCTAGTATGCAGGCATAGACCTTTGCAAGGAAACTCTTTACTGTAGCTGTCTTATTGTACCTGTGTGAATGAAGTACTACGGACTGAACCTTTCGATTTAAGGCTGAACATGAACACTTAACTCATATTTTGTGAGGAGATTTACCACAGGAGACAATGGACCTAGTGTGTCTTTCCGTTACATGAATGGGACAGGAGGGACTGGGGAGGCTGTCTCATTGCAAAACATGTCCAGTCTCAGCCCAGCTTGCTCTCCTACTTCATCCCTTCAGCCCTTAGTGGGGCTGCATTCAGCTCTAACTGATTTTGTGAAAGGACAGGAAAAGGTATAGAAAACTTCGTCACTAATTTAAATGTCATATCCAAGTGCCTTCTTTTCTGGGAAAGATTAGTATTTTAGAATTCTGTATGTTAAGTAGTATTCTGTAAATGAAGTGATCAAGAAGTGGATATTAAAAAGTCCATCACTGTCTTGCCTCTAAAGGAGATGCCACAGGGTTGTAGGCAGGGTACTTGTTTGCAGTCAGTTCAAAATTATTTCTGTGTACTCCATCAGCCAAATGCTAATGTCCACTTTGCATGTGAAGTGGGTTGTCAGTCCTTCAGACCCTTGAGTTAGTAGTTGATGTCAGGTTTGAGTTGTCTGTTATGCCACTGCTGTCTCATTAACTCTCAAGAACAATTTTTGCAGGTAGAAGGTACAGAAAAAGGGACCATGCAGTTAAATTCCATTGTACCAGAAGGAGTCATTCCACTCTGCTTCCGCTGCATGAATCCCCTAATAGTCTGGAACAGTGCTTTCTTGTGTATATTGGCGGAAAGTAAATAAAAATTGCTGACATAAAGAATAAGCAAGAATGTTATTTAGATTTAATAAGTTTCAATCCTGTGGTACCTTTTTAATTTTAAGATTTGTTCGATTAGGTTTTGCAAAGTAGGGTGATCTTTCTTCCATTAGGAAAGTCACGTAACAGCACAGGTTTGTGGACGTAATTCCTAGTGCTTCATGAATTGGGCTGTTTGAAAATTCCAGAGCATGCCTCTGTAGTTATAAACTGTTACTACAAAGTAAAATAATTTTTGGCTTTGTCTCCTGTCCTGTACAGTGAACTGGCTTTCCCTCGTTAGGTTAGGCAGCATGTCCAATAGAAAAAGCGAATTCTTGTTTCCCTGTAGATCGCTAGGATCCTCCATTCTGAATTCTTTATTTTACTTAGCTTTAGGGCAGCTCTCCTCCAGAGAGAGGAGTTCCTCTTCAAGGCTGCTGCTTCAAAGGATTTCCAGAGCTGGGAAAGGGACAGTAACCAGCAAATGCTGACAGATCTTCCTGCTTCTGGCCCTGAAAATGTGTGTGTGTGTGTGGTGTGTGTTTGTGTTTCTGTACACCTACACATTGGCCTGAAACCATCAAGTAGCATCCAACAAGGCTCATAATGAAATCTCCCCATGTTAATGAGTACATTGGGAAGAGGGGAGAATCTGCAAAGAAGGGGAGGAAAAAAATTGTTTGGTCAAAAGGAATGAACCCTTGGGGTTTATGTTCAAAGGAATGAAAGTTAACACGGTGGAAGCTTAAACTGGTTTTGGCTTTAACTGTTTCAAGTACCTTTAGTGTTTTGGGGGCTGGGAGGGGGGTGGCGTGATGGCCTCAGTATAATCTTGACATGTGGTATGATGCTTTCCTGAGATAGAAATGGAGCTGTCTCTACTTCAACGGTACACAAGAGGTTTTTGAGACTATTGAAATCTGATTTAGTAATATGGATGTAGTGATTGCCCACAACTTTGCCTTGGACTTGTGAGTACTTGAAATATTCTTCACAGAAATCCAACCATCTCTGTGTCTACAAACTCGGGAAACCAACAAAAACAAGGAATTTTTTTTTTCTTTTTTAGTTATGTATTACAGTGGAGTAGTAGATGACTCTGATGGTCAGCTTATCTCAGCTGAGAGGTGGTGTCTTTTCAAAAAAAACCCCACTAACTTTGATCACATCCAGTGATTCTTTGCTCACACTCAGTGATCCAGTGATTCTAATTTTTTCATACTCTGAGTATACAAGGGCTAATGGTACAAAGGAGTATACTAGCCAATATGACTTCACACCAAAATACATCAACTCTTTTCAAGACATCTAGTAGCATAGATATGAACACAAATTTAACTCTATGTAAACTTTTGTACTCCAACTTTTACTCAGACATTTTATTGCATGTTACATACAGTAATAGGACTTGTACATTGTGTCACTTGGTAAACAAGCAAATATTAAGCTAATTTTAATGGAAATTCCTTGTCAAGATTAGGAGCTCTGATAAATGAGCTTTGGCGTTTTGTGATTGAATAAGGTGAGGGGTTACTGCTTCTAATAGTCTGGCCACTCTTCTACAGGACGTTAATGCCCTTGTAGGCTGGGCAGCAGAAGTAGAGGTTATGATGGCTTCTCAGCTGGAAAGGCACCCACCCTTTCTACATTGAAGCCTTCATGTTGTCCAAATAAAAACAAGCCTTCTCAAAAGTGGAGGAGTCCTCTAGCGTCTAATTTATAAGACTTGAGAATCATCTTGTGATGTCCATCCAAAAACATGATGGAGTAATTATTAGTGCAAAGGCCCCTATGCAGGCATGAGGAGTTGTGCTTTCTTGTGAGACATTGAACATGAGACATGAACCACTGGATGCTACTGCTTCCCAGAAAGAGAAAAATGTCTGAAATTGGGTTTTTTGTTTGTTGTGTCCCCCCCTCCTCCCCTCCTCCCCCTTCTCTGGTTGCCATACTGAGTAACTGGCTTCTAGTCTGATAGTGTTTTAGGTGACTAGAATAACAGTCTGTCTCTTTCCGCAGTGGCTGCAGACAATCTGGCAGCAATCACTGTTACTTTTTAATATTTCTGGTTATTTTGAGATATCCTCCAAATGTCTCAAAGAAGGCTTGGAATGCTGAAGGGGAAGAAGCTTTTTTGGGGGGGGAATAGCAGCATCAGGAAGAAAATGAAATTCAGCATGCCACTATTTGTTTTTGCAGTGGTCATCACCCTGATTGCTAGCTCTGACAATATTTTCACAGAAAGGGTAACTAAATAGATGGTATTTGTTCTTTATAATAACTCTTTCAGTAGAATGTCAGGACCTGCATCTAAATGAGTATATTCACATTTTCATGATCCCATTTTTTATTTAAAGCTTCCCCTCCTAACTTTCTGAAACTACTTCATACAGACTTGGTAAGTTAAAATTAGGGTTTGTGTAGTGGATAATGTCACATTTCAAAGCTAATCTGTAGAGACCTAGCTGTGTGAACCTATAAAAGCTAGATCTGATTTTTTTTACGTATTAAGTGTTTGTTTAGTTTAAATATGTCTGTATCTTTTTTGATCAGCCTGAGCAATTTGCATGCTATGCAGCAGTCATCTTCTATACTTTATTAAATATCTGTCAATTATAAATATCAAGGTTTTACATTAATGTCAAGATAGTACATCAAAAATTCATGGAATATGTGACTTTTTTCAAGGGTATTTAATACTTAATGCATTTGTGTCATTTTTCTTTCTAGATATATTGACAGGTTTTATTAAGTGTTTGTTAGGGAGATTTCATTTTTACCAAGGGACTATAAAGAGAAGCTGCATACTAAATCAATTTTTTAATCAGAATATTGTTCTTTTTTGTGTGTCTTCAGATTCTTGTAATCTATAGGGTTTTTAAGTTAGTAGTAAAATAGTCCAAGTCAGAAATCTAACATGATCAAATATGCTGATGTATCTTAACTTTAAAATAGCTACTAGAATATTGTACCATGGAACGTTACAAATATGGTAATTATATACACTGGGATTTTATTCTGCCTTGTGTCTTTTAAGACCATATATTTTGTCCTTTATTGTAATTTACTAGCGGTTTTATGTGAATTACGTCTGGATGGTTTCCATATAGGGCAGTCCCTGCGTTTCACAAATGGGGAGGCTTACAGCACGTTTGGTGGCATCCAGAATCTTTGCCCACGGGTTGCGTGTTCAAGTTGACTCATTAGAGAGGGACTAGTTATATCAAATGAACAATTAACCTCATGGCAATCTTCTGATTTAATACAGATTTTTCTCAGAGAGGACAATGGCAGCAAATACCTATCTTGCTTCCTATAGGTGTTTGCTCCAAGTTGGGGTTGAGCATGTTGGCTGGCACTCCCTGTGTGGTGTGTGAGTAGGAACTGCACACATGTATTGTGTTTAGTCTGTAAAAATCACTTTTGCACTGTTAAGCCCTTTGCAGTCTCTGTAGTGCCTTTTCACTTTCAGTGCGTTATGGCCATAGTAATTATTGCCGTTTGCCAAATAACTTACTCCGTTGAAAGTTCATGTTTGGGAAGAGGGAGGAGAGCAGAAAAGCGCAGAGAGGAAAGACGGGGGTTATCTATTTGCATACCTGGGGTCTTTCTCCTGCGATAAACTTGTCAGACCCTCAGTTTGAAGTAAGGCAGCATTCATTCACGCTGGAGGTAAGTGATCCAAAACTCGGGTTTCAGAATGTTGGAATAATACCAAGTGCCGCTGCGGGGGCGGTTCATTTCAGCTCTGCGTCTCCTGCCCTCCGAAGCCGGGGAGGAGGACAGAGCGGCTGGAGGAGGTGTGGGGGGCCGGGCGGCG